TAAAAACGTGATCAAGCTGAACAGGGTCATCAGGGAGAGCCCTAATCCAGCCTGTATGCTGTCACCATAAGGGGAGGGGGGCAGGACACAGGGACAGAGGGTGGGCGGGCGACCTCACAGTGAGAGGCAGCCCTTGGGGGTCCCCAGCCTCCAGCACTCAGACCAGGAACGTCTGATGTCAGAGCCACCACAGGGACCCAGGGCCCTCCTGACGCCCCCTCCAGGCCGCCCACCACTCACTGGGCAGCCGTCCGACAAACCGTGGCCCAGCAGCTACGACGACCCAGGTGGTCTTTGTGCTGGGCCACGGGCTCGCAGCATCCGCTCTCCCTGACAGCTCCCCTGGCAGGGGAGTGATCCCGACTCCACCACGGGTAACATGAGGAGGGCGCCCACGCCTCCCGTGACGTCCAGCGTCTGGGACTGACCACTCACGGCTGTCTCACTGACCCCGCTCCCTGCCCGTTGTCTCGCTGTATCGCACGTACATACTGTCCGCTGCACCCAGGGCAGGCAAGGTGTGAGCTGGGAAACTGGAAGAAATTGCGAGGAGCTGTAGGAACTGCAGACACGTTTATTCTCTCCGGGCTGGCACGTCAGCCCAGCAGACAGGCTGTATTCTCTCCTCTCGTGGTTGACCCAGCGGACACAGCTGTAACAGCCTCAACAGCACAATGCAGCCTCGATGTAGCCGCAAGGGCTTTTTCAGGTGGAGCTTACACATGCTCACAGAACAAAGGTAGCCCAAGGCCAAGCAAGTACCTTGTGATGTGTGCGCACAGTGCTCTAAGCGATCTTGGCAGTGACAGAACTGTGTGTTTACAAAACGTGGGGCCAGAGCAAGAGGGCCCAGGCGAGAGAGCCTGACCACCACCATCTCGGCTAATCTACTGTCTCCCGACAATGGCCAAGCTCACTCCGCTGGAAGTCACCACGCCCAGGAGCAGGAGCCGACCTGCTCCCAGGGCAGGAGGAGCCAAGAGGCCATCGCCCATCCTGTCACCCCAAACAGTGCCTGCTGCTTCCACATTTGTCCGTGGTGGCACCTCAACCGCACTTCTGGAAGTTTCTCTTCATTTTTCCTGCAGGGACCCTGCAGAGTTGTCTCTGAATCGCTGAGGTGAGTGGGTGCGGAGTGGGGCATTCCCTGCGCTCAGGAAACACCCAAAGTTCAGCACAGAATGGGGCTCAAAACAGCCACAGCTCTGCTCCAGTGAGCCCATCATCCCTCACCTTCAGAGACACAGTCACGAAAACTCCCATCGCACGACCACATCTCGCCCGTCCCACGGGGACCCTGGACCCTGAAGGCGGAGCTCCAGAAGAGCAGGCAGGCTCACCCAGCTGCTGGGGTCCCAGCAGGGAGCCGCCAGGAGGGGATGAGGCTGCACCTGGTGAGAACACCGGGCACTTACCATCTGAATCCACGCCACCAGCTCTTACAGCCCAGCTCAGACACAGTCAGTAAACACGAGAAAATGTGTGCCCAAGGGTACACGTTACAGCCCTCGTTTTAATAACTGAGGGCTGGGAACAACCCAACTGCCTATCAACCTGTGCAGACGGTTGGGTAAATGGTGGTGTGTTCAAAACCACAAAACAGAGACACATGTGGCCGTGAAGAGATAGAAGGGATATCACTATTCGCTGAAGGGCGTTTTCTCCAGATGCAGGGGGAAAAAAAAAACCTCACTGGCGTGGGATGGGGAGGGAGCTTCCAGAGAGAGGGGACATGTGTATCCCTCTGACTGATTCATGTTGATGTACGGCAGAAACCAACGCAGCACTGATGCAACTGTCCTTCAATTAAAAATAAAATTTTTTTTAAAAAACCCAATGGGACCTCTAGAGACGAAAAATATAACATCTAAAATGAAAATTCACAAGATAAGCTTAACAGAGGTTTAGAAACCTCAGAAATTTATCAAGAAGCTTAAATACATAGCTTTCAGTTCAGTTCGCTTGCTCAGTCGTGTCTGACTTTGTGACCCCATGGACTGCAGCACGCCAGGCCTCCCTGTCCATCACCAACTCCCAGAGTTTACTCAAACTCACATCCATTGAGTTGGTGATGCCATCCAGCCATCTCATCCTCTGTCATCCCCTTCTCCTCCCACCTTCAATCTTTCCCAGCATCAGGGTCTTTTCAAACGAGTCAGTTCTTCACATCAGGATTGGAGCTTCGGCATCAGTCCTTCCAATGAATATTCTTCATTGGGCTGACTGCTTTTAGGATGGACTGGTTTGATCTCCTTGCAGTCTAAGGGACTCTCAAGAGTCTTCTCCAACACCACAGTTCAAAAGCATCAATTCTTCAGCGCTCAGCTTTCTTTATGGTCCAACTGTCGCATCCATACATGACCACTGGAAGGACCATAGCTTTGACTAGATGAACCTTTGTCAGCAAAGGTTCTCTGCTTTTTAATATGCCGTCTAGGTTCATCATAGCTTTTCTTCCAAGAAGAAAGCATCATTTAATTTTATGGCTGCAGTCACCATCTGCAGTGATTTTGGAAGCCAGGAAAACAAAGTCTGTCACTGTTTCCATTGTTTCCCCATCTATTTGCCATGAAGTGACGGGACCGGATGCCGTGAGCTTCATTTTTTGAATGGTGAGTTTTAAGCCATTTTTTCACTCTCCTCTTTCACTTTCATTAAGAGGCTCTTTAGTTCTTCTTCACTTTCTGCCACAAGGGTGGTGTCATCTGCATTTCTGAGGTTACTGCTATTTCTCCCAGCAATCCTGATTCCAGCTTGTGCTTCATCCAGCCCAGCGTTTCTCATGATGTACTCTGCATTTAAGTTAAATAAGTAGGGTAACAATATACAGCCTTGATGTACTCCTTTCCCAATTTGGAACCAGTCTGTTGTTCCATGTCCAGTTCTAACTGTTGCTTCTTGACCTGCATAAAGATTTCTCAGGAGGCAGGTAAGGTGGTCTGGTATTCTCACCTCTAAGAATTTTCCACTCTTTGTGGTGATCCACACAGTCAAAACCTTTGGTGTAGTCAATAAAGCAGAAATGGATTTTGTTCTGGAATTCTTTTGCTTTTTGTAAGATCCAACGGATGTTGGCAATTTGATCTCTGATTCCCCTACCTTTTCTAAATCTAGCTTGAATATCTGGAAGTTCTCGGTTCACATACTGTTGAAGCCTTGCTTGGAGAATTTTGAGCATTACTTTGCTAGCATGTGAGATGAGTGCAATTTTGTAGTAGTTTGAACATTCTTTGGCATTGCCTTTTTTTTTAATTGGAATAAAAACTGAGCTTTTCCAGTCCTGTGGCCACTGCTGAGTTTTCCAAATTTGCTGGCATATTGAGTACAGCACTTTCTCAGCATCATCTTTTAGGATTTGACATAGCTCAGCTGGAATTCCATCACCTCCACTAGCTTTGTTTGTGGTGATGCTTTCTAAGGCCCACTTGACTTCACATTCCAGGATGTCTGGCTCTAGGTGAGTTATCACACCATTGTGGTTATCTGGGTCATGAAGATCTCTTTTTATAGTTTTTCTGTGTATCCTGTGTCACCTCTTCTTAATATCTTCTGCTTCCGCTAGGGCCATATCCTTTCTGTCCTTAATCATGCCCATCTTTGCATGAAATATTCCCTTGGTATCTCTAATCTTCTTGAAGAGATCTCTAGTCTTTCTCATTCTATTGTTTTCCTCTATTTCTTTGCATTAATCACTTAGGAAGTGATACATAGCTTTAGAAGGTATTCAAACCTAAGCAAGAAGAAGGGATAAAAGCTGAGAAAATTAACACAGCTTCACCAACACTGGGACAGCAAACCGTCTAATATATACACCTAACACACAGCCCCAAAGAAGAGACAGATAAAACATATGTGAAGGTATCTTGGCTGCAATGTTTTAAAATTTAATGAAACTCACAAATTGAATAAGTTCAATAGGACTGTCTTGCTGATCCTGCTCACTATATCAAGTGTCTCACTGTTCGTTGATCCCAAGGTAGTCAAGGCACAAGCAGGAAAGCTGGAAGAAAACTCAAGGAGTTGTAGGAAATGCAGACACATTTATTCTCTCCTGACTGGCACAGCAGTGGTAGCAGCAGACACACTGCATTCTCACCTCTCATGACTGACCCAGCGGGCACAGGCATTATACAGGCAGCCCCTTCACAGCACAGACAACACACACACACACACACACACACACAGACTTTCCAGGTGGACCTTATATATGCTTACAGAAGAAAGGTTGCTCACACACACACGGACTTTCCAGGGGGAGCTTATTTATGCTTACAGAAGGTTGCCTGTGACCAAGCAGGAACATCGTGATGCACACGCTCAGTGCTGTAAGTGATCTTAGCTGTTACAGAACATTATTTACAAAACGTGGAGCAAGAGCGAGAGGATGTGGGGCGGGAGAGTCTGACCATGCCATCCTGGCTAATTTGCTCTTTTCCTACAAGAACAGACAAGGGAAACTACTACAGCAAATTGCTGAAAACCAGTGACTTTTTATATAAATTCTAAAAGCAGCCAGAAAAAAATAGACTATGCACAGTTAAACAAATATAGGCATAACCGCCAATTTCTCATCAGTAACAGTGCAAACTGGAAGATAATAAAACAATATTCAACACGCTGGAAGAATGCCCATTGACCTAGAATTTGATACTTAGTGAAAATCTTTCAAAAAGGTGAAAGCAGATTAAATGCAGTCTCATTCAAGCAGTGGTTGACAGAATTCACCACCAGCAGATCTGCCGAACAAGAAACTCCTAAGAAGTTACTGAGGCTGAAGGAGTAAACGGCAGCAAGAAGCCAGGCTATGCACAAAAGAGCAAAGAGGGCAGAGTAAATTTTACTTAAAAGATAATAAGACTGTTTAGAGCAAAAACGATGGTGCAGCTGATGGCGTGCTTAGAAGCAAGTGAGGACTGAGGTGGCTTCTCCCCTAAAGCGGGCGCCTGCAGCAGGGAGCCCGGGTCCATGGCCTTCACCCTGAGCCGCCCATGGTATCATCCTCAGGGGCGATGGTGAGTAGTTCCTGGGGCCAAAAAATACGGTAAAAACTTAGGATCACACCAAGAGTCCTCTCGGCTTGGGGTTGACCGTGAATGAAGTATAGAGAGGCCCCTGGGGAAGAGGGGCACTCCCTGCAGCCCTGGATGGCTGCAGCGTCTCCTCCTCCCCCGGGTGAGCCCATCCCCATGGGCACCGGCCCCTGCTGGTCCGCGGGGTGGGTACGCGCGCAGAGGTTCTGATCTCACACAGTGCACGGAGCTGACATTTGAGGGGCCCTGAGAATGAGTCTCACTCTGGAGAACGGTTTGCATTCGAAGAACCCAACCAAATGCACAGGCTCACCAGGTTAGTTCTCCAAATCACCAGCTTCATTCTCCAAAGATCACCTATGAACCAGCATCAGGAGATGCTCAGATACGTGAGCGCTGGTATGAATAATTTTCCAACGGTGGGCATTTTTCTCAGGTGGGAAAGAGAACCCTGTGGGAGCCACATCCTCACCAGGAGGGCCGGGCATCAACATAGGGCGTGACCTGGAGTCTGGAACCTGGGTGGGCCCCAAGCTCCCACACGCCATAGCTGACGCACAAACAGCAGGACACCTAGCTATGCAGGACAGCTCTCCTCCCTGTGTGCCAATAACTAGCTGCACCTCGGATGAGACTGGGAGAGGGGTCTGAAGCTGCACCCAGAGCCCCTCCCCGAGGCCCGCCTGCATCCTGGCCTTTGGGGGCCGTGAGCCCCAGCCCCCTCTCCCACCCATCCCCCCTTGGGCTTCCACAGCTGGCGCTGGTCTGTGTTCCCCACAGGTCACAGGCCTACAGTGCACCTCCCTCCACTGCAGAGCAGTGCAGCGGGGGCAAAGCTGTGAGGTGGGGAGCAGCCTGGCCCTGCAGGGGCTCCCCCAAGTGTAGTAGGAGCGCAGGGCATGACGGCCAGGGCACAACTCACTGCTAAGGAAGATGGATTTTATACTCAGGGTAACAGGGGTCAGCAGAGGGTTTCCAGCAGGGGGGTGGCTGTGCTGAACAGAGAGCAGGCTGGAGGGGAAGACGGGGAACGGGGTCCAGCTACATGCTATCCCAGTGGCTGGGGCCAGCAGGGCCACGAGCAGATGTTGCATGAGTATATAAGAGGCAGGGAAAAGTCTCCGATGTCCTCAGGGTCCCTGGCCCATATCCCAGCGGCATGGCCCAGAGCCACCGCTGCACTCCGCCCTATGCCTCGTTCCTGGGAGGCCTCCAGCCCTCCACTGCTCCTGATCCAGCAAATCGCTCTCCTGTCCACCCCCTTCTCTGAAACCCTGAGCAATTCACTGGGGCTTTAACAGCATCTACCACTTCTATAAATGCTTAGCAATGTTTTTGATTGCCTGAGACAGAAGGAAAAGAGAGAAAGAAGTAGATGTGAATAGGAGCGCAGATGGTACGCTCTCCATCACAGGGAGCTGGCCACTGGGCATGGGCAGCTCCAGTGAACCAAGGGTCCTGATTCCACAGACTCTCGGATGGAAACAGGAAGAACACGTCCCCTTCCAGAGGCCATCAGGGCATCTCTCAACAGGAAAACGTGAGCACCATCAAGCCACACAAGTTCCCTCCCTCCCTGGAGCCCCAGCTAGACTCTCCTCCAGCAGGCGGTGGGTTCTAATGGGAGCTCTTGAGGATCAGTTTCAGCCCTTGATGACGGTGGCTCCCAGGACGCACTGGAGAGTGATTTTTACAAATTTCTTCAATGCTCACATATTGATATAAAGAGATCACTCTGGCTTATACATCAATTCACTTGAACTTGATCCTCACTAAATAAAATGAGCTATTTGTGGTCTATCAAACATACATTGTACACCTACTTTAATTATCAGAGAGAAGGACACACTGACCAGAAGTAAAGAACGTCCATGTCAAAAGTAAAGATTAAAAGGCGCTCTTCCTGAGACCCGGATGCGGGACTTTCTGTGATAAAGACTCCCTTCCCAGAGGCAAGGCCAGGTTGACTCCGTCAGCGTGCTAGTCTGTTCTTGTTTGTTTCAACCTTAAAGAAATGTATCCCTGACTTGTTTAACGTTCTTTGCTTTGAGAAGATATAAAACTGTGCTGAAAACCACGCTTTTCCGGAGCGGTTTCTCAGAGAAACCAGGGAAGTGAGCCTCTGGCCTGGTTCTTAGTTTGGCTCAAATCAAACCCCTTTCTAATGATTGTTGTTAGTTCTGACGGGGGGGGCCCGCCTTTCTTCTAGAAAGGCTGCGTTCTTCTTCACAACGGCCCACCTGGGGGTTCATATCTAAGTACAGCGAAAATAAACACGAAACGGTCGCTGCCTTTCGCGCGCCTATTTTTTTCCGCCTCCACCTCTCACGTCGTCGACCCAACTCCAGACTCAGGCTGAGGGACCGCGCGCTCCCCTACGCCATTCGGCGTCAGCCCGGGTCCAGGGATCCCGCCGGCTCCTCGGAAAGAGGCTGCGCGCAGCCCAGACGGCCGCCCCGCGGCTTCCCTACTCTGCGAGACTTCCCTCGACCCGCCGGAATCGCGGGGCACGACGGGAGGACGGCGCGACGGGTGACGTCACACCGCGCCCCCGACGCAGGCGCGTGCGCGAGGCCGGTGGGACTACGTTTCCCAGGGGGCCACGCGGCGCGCCCACTTCCGGGGGACGGTGAGAGGCCCGGAAGCGGCGCGGCGGCGAATCCAGCGGCGACAGGTCGGCGGCGAGCATGCGGGGCAGCCGGCGGCCCGCGGCGCGCGGCGCGTTCGTTCCCCGGCGGTGGCGGGGGCGCGCGGCAGCTCTCGCGTGAGCGGCGGCGGCCCGAGCGTCCGGCAGGACGCCGGGCGGGCGGAGTGCCCGCGTCTGCGAGGCGGCCCGGCCGGGCCCGGCGGCGGCGCCATGTGGAGCGGCCGGAGTTCCTTCACCAGCCTGGTCGTGGGCGTGTTCGTGGTGTATGTGGTGCACACCTGCTGGGTCATGTACGGCATCGTCTACACCCGCCCGTGCTCCGGTCACGGCCGCTGCATTCAGCCCTACCTGGCGCAGAGGCCCAAGCTGCAGGTGAGCGCGGGCCCCCAGCCCGACCGCCACCCTCGGGCCGGGCGGGCCCAGCCGGGCGCCAGACTCTGACCCGGGCGGGGCCGCCTCTCCGCCCCTAGCCCTGACGACCCTCGCCCGCAGCTGGCCCCCGTGCCCCGCCCCATCCAGCAGCCAGCCTCAGGCTTCAGCAGGTGTCCCCCTGCGGCAGGCCTGTCCCTCACGGCCATCCTGTCACCGCCGAGTTCTGTCCCCTGAGGCACGGCAGGCACCTTCCGTGCGGCGGCCGCTCAGGCCTTCCTCTGTCAGCGCCCGGCGCTTTCTGCCAGGGCTCCCGCAGGCTTGATTTTCTTGACGGTCCTTCTTCCAGCTCAGTGTCTACACCACCACGCGGTCCAACCTGGGCGCCGAGAACAACGTGGATCTGGTCTTGAACGTGGAGGACTTTGACGTGGAGTCCAAATTTGAAAGGTACGTATGTGGGCAAGGTGACAGGCAAGCCCCATAGACATTGAGATTGTTGAAGAGTCAGTGTGTGTGTGTGAGTGTGAGAGAAGTGTCTCTCAGAGAAGTGGCGTTATCGACCCTCTTGTGCACGGTGGAGCATTTCAGCTGCAAACATCTGTGAAACGTAGGCAGCAAACTTCGTTTCACTTGAAAGTAGCAGCTGACCAGTTTGTCACTTAGGAAGTAGCTCACCGGGCTTCTAACAGTTGTGGGATGCGGCACGGCCCTGGGGAGTTTCCGGAGCGGTGGGGATGGGTGCAGGCGGCGTGGAGAACAGAGCTTACACAGTTCCCACAGCAAAACTTGTGTTTTCCCAGCAAAACTTGTGTTTTCCCATCAGAAGTGGTTCAGTTCTGTCATCTAGAAGGGAAAAGAGAAGGATGGAGGGAAGAATTTAGCAGAAAATCAAAATTAAGTGAAGTGGAACTTTACAGAAAAGAGCAAGCAGTATAAACATTGAAGTACGTAGCGTAACTTTTTAAAGCTGCACGTAACTGATTGTTCTAGTTTTTTAAGTTTCAAGAAATGTTATTTTAAAAGCGATGTGCTCATCACAAGTCGTCCTCTTCCGTCTTGTTGTCTGGGAGGCATCAAGACGAATACTGGGGTGTGTGATGCTGTGCAGAGCACGAGTTCTGTGGGAGAGCTGCTGTGGGGACTGGGCGGGTCACGCGTGCCCGGGGTTGGCCCACAACCTCAGCGGCCGGTGTGCAGGCCTTTCTGCTTTGCGGCAGCTGCCCGTGCTTTCAGAGTATGTTGCATAAACGTACGTCTAGGACCTCAGTAACATCTAGGCAGGTGGGTTTCGCTCTTAGTACATCTCAGCCGACAGTGATTGGTTTGTGTTCAAAACGGCATTTTTTATAGACATACTTGCATAGTCTCCACCTCCATAGAACAAAACACTCATGAGGTTACTGTCATCATTTGTGTTGTATCAGGACAGTCAACGTCTCTGTTCCCAAAAAAACGAGGAACAATGGCACGCTGTACGCCTACATCTTTCTCCACCATGCCGGCATCCTGCCCTGGAACGACGGGAAGCAGGTGCACCTGGTGAGCCCGCTGACCACCTACATGGTCCCCAAGCCGGAAGAGGTCAACCTGCTCACTGGGGAACCGGCGGCACAGGTGAGCGGTGCCAGCGGAAGGAAGCCTGCTGGCCCCTTGGAGTCCACACGTGTCTGCACGTGAGTTAGTGATGTGCAGTCTGAGTATTCGGCGACCTTCTTCACCTGGATTCCTTCTCAGGTCACCAGGCCTCTGAGCCCTGGGAGCATGTTTGCAGGGCAGAGAGTCGGTGCAGGGTGGTCCTGCTCGGCTATGGTCAGACTTGGAGCTGGTGATGCTGTGCTGGGGCAGGATAAGGCAGCGCTGGGGTGTCAATTCTCAGGATGTGACCTAAATTAGGAGAAAGGCAGGAGTACAAAGTGTGTCTCGTACGCCTAGAAAACCCCCCATGCAGGGAAGGCTGGTGGGCGTGCACTTGGCCCTGACTGCAGGGGAGGACGGAACAGGTAGCCTGCTGTTTGGGGTCGTGTGCCCTAGAAGGAGAGTCCTTCACGGCCAGCGGCAGCAGCTCACCGGGAGGTGTCCCCACCGTCTTCTCTGTGTCCTGGAAAGGCCCCTGGGTTCCCTTCCCGTGCAGACTGCACAGCGCTGCCCCAGGGCCTTCCCGGGAGCCCAGCGGCCTGTGGAGGGTGGAGGGCGGCTCTGGATCGGGCAGGTGCTGAGTCAGCATCAGCTGTTGCTGCTTCTGGGAAGACGGTTCTGGTGTTACTTCTAGAGCTGAACTGGAGCTGGAGCGTGGAGATAAATAGAGCGTCACTGTTCACGGGGCTGCTCAGATCCAATGTTAAGACCTGCCCGCCAGGAAGGGTTTGTTCTGAATTTAGTAGATTTAGGCTTGTTGCCCAGGTGCGGACACGCCCCCTCCAGAAGGCTGGGTGGAGCTGCTTTAGAAGTGTCTGGGTTGAGGCTCCTTGCAGGCTGTAGGGTTCTCCTCTCCAGACTGCTCTCGCCTCCCGCCCCTGTTCCAGGGCTTGGCCTTCCCGGGGCCTCCGCTCGGGCTGGGGGCCCAGGACAGGAGTCAGTGAGATCCAGGACCACGTACTCTGGAATAGCAGGCCTTTGGCTTCTGCTGTGAGCAGGCGGTGGGGAGTGAGGGTCTGGGCGAGGGCCACCGGGGTCCCCCTCGGGCCTGTTTGGAGCTGCGCTCTCTGCTCAAAGGCTCTGTGAGGGTTCCACACCCCCGCCCCAGACCCGCTGGGCACCGCCCCTCCCAGCCTTTCCCTGCTGAGTCAGCGCTGATGGTCAGCAGCAGATCGAGGCCAAGAAGAAGCCGACGAGTGCCCTGGATGAGCCTGTTTCTCACTGGAGGCCCAGACTGACCCTCAACGTGATGGTGGACAACTTCGTCTTTGACGGGGCCTCCCTGCCCGCGGACGTGCACCGCTACATGAAGATGTAGGTGCCGCAGCTCGGGCCTTGCTGCTGAGGCCCAGGGCAGGGGGTCGCTGTAGTTCACGTGCCTGGCTTGAGCCTCGCTCGTCACCCCTGAGCCGACAGCAGGGGGGGATCCGGTGGGTGGGGGAGCCCCCTCTCCCCGCCTCCTCGGGAGGGTCTCACGGATCACAGCTGCCACCAGGACCGGGAGGGGAAGGGAACAGTGGGTGTTTGTCTCGGAGGGGGAGTGGGGAACCTGATTCGGCCGAGTCACCCTGCGCCCTGGAGGCTCTGCCCTGTTTGCATCCTGCGAGCTTGCACCCCACTCCCTCGGCTTAAACATTGATCGTTAGGTCGTCCTCTTACCGCTACTTGCCATCGGAAGCGTAACTGCTAAAACTGGCTTAGGTGACCCTGCGTCTCTGCGCTGCAGGGAGCCCCCTGATGCCCAGCCCGGCCCCGGGTCAACACGTAGCACCCAGAAATGCGGATGAGAATTGTTGCCTTCCACACTTTGCAGTGGTTCCTCTGGTGTGGTTACGACGTTTTGCCTTTTGTAAAGTCAGGATCTCGTTTTTTAACGCTGGGTGCATTCATAGTTGAGAGCGTGTGGGTCACTGGGTGAGAGGCCCCTGCCTCCCCCCCCCCCCGCCCCAGGCATGCGGCCCTCACGTCTCACCACACCCTGGACGCCCCATGTGGGCACACGCACGGCCCCTCGTTCTTCTCTGCCTCGTGAGTGGCGTCCCACCAAGCGCCCAGTGCCCAACCTCACCGCGTCCTCCTGATGCCAGCTGTGAGGGGGGAAACGTAGCGCGCGGGCCCCTCCGCTCCCCGTGGGAATGCGAATCCTGGGCCTGTCAGCGACCAGAAGCCGCTGGCGTCGCGGTTGGGGGAGCGGTCTGCGAGGTAGACCCAACATCTTGGGGCTTCAGTCCTCTTGGGTGCGGGAGCCCCCCGGTGACCTGGAGACGGCTCTGCCCCCAGGATCCAGCTGGGGAAGACGGTGCACTACCTGCCCATCCTGTTCATTGACCAGCTGAGCAACCGTGTCAAGGACCTCATGGTGAGTCGGCCACCCCCCTGACCCTTGACCCCAACACAGCTCACACACTGCGGGTGGGCGGGCCCTACCCATGATGAGCACGGAGCCCTGGACAGCTGCTCATCCCCCGAGTGGCTGTGGCCATGGCTCCATGGGGGCCCAGGTGTCTGGTGTGGAGGCCCGGCCTGTTCCTGAGGTATCTGGAGCAGAGCCTGCCTCCTCCAGGCTGGCCCCCAGTCACCTGCTGCCCCTGGGGTGGGTTGGGCTGACCACAGCGGTAACAGCTGACACCTGAGGTTGCTTACCGCTGCAGGCATCATGCTGGGCGCCTTGCAGCACCCAAACAGGCATGTCACAGTGTCCCCAACCCGTGGGGACTCATTTAGGGTCTGGGAGGTGGCCTCTCCCTGGAGGCCTCCTGCTTAGTGTCTGCTGGACAGAGCTCAGCTGTGTGGGACCCGCTGACCCACATGTGCTTGCCTGGGGCTGCAGGGTTGGGTGTCACGGGACACCTCCCCTCTACACACAGTCACACATCAATTCCAAGTGTCCTCCAGGGCCCCATTGAGGGCCACCCCTCCCTGCAGCTCCCGCTGCACCCGTGAGTGTGGCCACCCCACCGTGTTCCCCTCGGGGCAGCTCGGCATCTGCTCCTCTGGACAGGCGCAGGCTCCCGTGGTCTCTGCTTGACTCAGCTGCCCAAGTGGGTCCCCACGCCTGCCTAGGAGGCGCCGGCACCCAGGGCTGTGGTCACGAGAGACACGTAGGGTTCGGGTGATGGAAAGGAGCTTGAGGAGTGAGGGCTTCCTGGAGGAGACACCTGCAGGTCCTCAGACGACGGTGTGGTGCCGGGCCCACGGGGGCCCAGCTTGGCACAGAGCCGGACCTTCGCCGCTCCCCTCCGCAGGTCATCAACCGCTCCAGCGCCGAGCTGCCGCTCACCGTGTCCTATGACAAGATCTCGCTGGGGCGGCTGCGCTTCTGGATCCACATGCAGGATGCTGTGTACTCGCTGCAGCAGTTCGGTGAGGGTGCCGGGCGTGCCCTGGGAGCGGGGAGTCGGGGGAGCCCAGAACTCGGTGCCCGCCCGCATGTGAGGCCGTCCCCCTTGGACCCCGTGGGGTCCGAGGAGCTCCTCTGCAGACGAGGTGACCCCTCGGGGCGCTGTAGCGTGGGTGCACGTCACCTTCACTTGGGGCCTCGGTTCTCTCCAGGATTCTCAGAGAAGGATGCTGATGAAGTGAAGGGGATCTTTGTCGACACCAACTTGTATTTCTTGGCGCTGACCTTTTTCGTGGCTGCGTTCCACGTGAGTGCTCCTAGTTTTCCAGGTTTCCTCCCCTCTCCCCACCCCCCCAGGAGAGGGGCCTGCACTCAGGCTCGACCAGCTGAAGGGCTTGGCTTCGTCTGTTTGGAGCCATTTTGAAAATAGATCAAAATCAATGAGATTAGCAAAGTACGCGTTTCCTCGTTTGAGGTTTGGCACGGCGATTCCAAGAGTTACAGTCTGGTCCTGCTGGGGGGGGTCTCTGTTAGACGCAGCAGCTGGCGGCTGCCAGGAAAGCCCGTGTGGGGCTGTGCTTGAGGCTAGAGGGCAGGGGTGAGGCCCGTGCGCCCGGCTGTAACAGCGGGTCCACAGGCCGGGGGAGCCAGAACTTGTCAGAGCTGCGCCAGGGCTGAGGTCTCCCTGAGTGGACAGCATCTTCAATCAAGCCTGTGCTCTCCCACACAGTGTAGGGGCTCATCACTGTTCTGGTGTCTTTCAGCTGCTTTTTGATTTCCTGGCATTTAAAAATGACATCAGTTTCTGGAAGAAGAAAAAGAGCATGATCGGCATGTCCACCAAAGCAGGTAGCAGCTCAGGGCTTGCCCGTGTCCTCCAAGGTGCCCCCCGCTGGGCCATGGTGGGCGGGTGACGAGCTTGCTGTGACGCCCACAGGGGTGTTCGCCCAGGACCATGCGGCTCTTGCTTGGGACAGGTTTTAGGTCCCCATGGGAGCAGCCTGGGAGGCCGAGGGCAGCCTTCTGGCGGTGGTGAGCACCTCGTTCGCCCAGGACAGGGGCTGTGGGGCCGGTTCTCGAGCTCATCTGCGTGAACTCATGGTCCCACGGGGCGCCAGGCTGGCTTCCCAGCAGGGGGTGGTTCTTCAGCTCCTGTGGGAGTCACTCCCGAGGGAGGGGCCTGGGGTGCTTGAGTGGCCCCTGCGTCCAGGATCCGAGTCTCGGGGTTCTCTGTCCTGACCTCTGACTTCCTCGGAGGGGAGGACCCCGCTGAGCCCCCCGGCCCCCCGCTGGCCTTTCACCGTGGTGGTGTGAGCAGGGTTTGTGGGGCCTGGGACCCGAGTTGCTGGCGGGCACTGCCCTGCAGGGGGTTTCCCACAGCCCTGGTGGCTCCTGAGCCTCCGCTGGGAAGACAGGCACGGGCACCATGGGGTCCCGTCAGGACCCGTGTTCCCCGCACCCTGTCCGTGTCATTGTGTCAGCGAGTGTGGATCACACACCTCCCGGCCCCTCACGGTTGTTCTGCGGTTTCCAAGGCTCCCTTTCAGTGGACAGAGGGGAGACGTGCTTGAAGGGCCGAATGCCTGTGCCTGTGTGTACCTGTGTAGGTGTGGGCATGAGTGTGCACCGGTGTGGGTGTGCTTGTGGGCGCAGCCGGCTCGTGGGCGCAGCCGGCTGGCCCCGCCCCGTGCTTAGCCCCGCCCTCCCGTCCCCAGTGCTCTGGCGCTGCTTCAGCACCGTCGTCATCTTTCTGTTCCTGCTGGACGAGCAGACGAGCCTCCTGGTGCTGGTACCTGCGGGCATCGGAGCTGCCATCGAGGTGAGAGGCCCACCTGGGTGCCAGTCTGCGTGCTCCCTCGAAAGTCCTGGGGCCCAGGTGCTCAGTGCGGGTCGGGACCGGCATCTGCCTGGGAACTGCCCGGCCTGGCTAAGGGGAGGGCGCCACTGCCTAGCTTCTCCAGTGGAGCTCCGCACAGCCCCATTTGACTCCACCTGGAAGCCCCGCATCCCGTCCACCCGCGGGACTTGGTAACTCGGTGGGTGGACCCCGTGGCTCTCGCTGAACTGATGCTGTGTGGATCAGGATGTGCGATGGGGCCGTGTGGGGGTGATGGGCCAGGGCGCCCCGTTTCTGGAATCCAGGGCCCCTTGGGCCTCGGGCACCGTCCTCACCAGGACCCTCAGCATGGCTGCGTCCAGGCCCTTGCCTGTGGGCACCCCTGGGGAAGTGCTGGTTGGGCCCTCCCGCAGCCACAAGTCGTGTGGGGACCGAATTCATGTCTGTTGTGCTGACCGCACCTCAGGGAGGCGGCCACCTGGAGATACCTGGCCATGGCGGGACGTGGGGCTCTGGGCTGTGTGGAAGAAGGTGCCAGGGCAAGTCTGGAGGTGGCTGGGGGTGGCTAGGCATAGGTGAACTAGGTGGGGACTTGGTGGTCTCCAAGGGTGGACAGGCTGGGTCTGTGCTGGAGATGGGCGTTGGTCAGGGGCCCGCCGAGTGGTCAGGCTTAGCTGGGGTGCAGTGCAGCCCGTGTCCTGATAGGTCTCCATTCAAGGAGCGGCCATGGCTGCTTCTGTGTCCTGGAACTTCAGCTGTGTGTTTTCCCTTCTCAGCTGTGGAAAGTGAAAAAGGCCTTGAAGATGACTGTCGTTTGGAGAGGCCTGCGGCCCACGTTTCAGGTAGGGACCCCACGCCGCCCCGTGTCCTCTCGGGGACCCGTCACCTTCGTTCTTTTGCAGCCTGCCCGTGATGCAGGCTGACCCCTGCACACATCCCTTGGCTGCGTTCCCGCGACGTACAGTCCTGAGGGCAGGTGACTGTCTCTTGGTCACCTGTAGGCCCGCAGGGAGACGCAGGGGTCTTGGTGTGGGCGGGGCGGCTCACCCCTCCGCAGCTCTGCTCTCAAGCCCCCTGGGCTCTGACTCCCCTGGGGTCCCCCGTCCCCGGCTGTAGGAGCAGCAGCCCCCACCACCCCATGACCAGGCAGGACGCTGGTTAGCCCAGCTCAAGTGGAGTGTCCCGCAGGGGTGGGGTCCCCCCTGACCGCACCGCGAGGGGCTATCCGGTGTCGAGCTTCCTGGGGCGTCAGCAGGCGGTTACAGCCGGGTGGCTGCTCCGCTTGGTGTGGCGGGCCGCGTGTGAGGACCCCTGGGACTGTGAGGCTCCAGGCATGCAGGTCCAGGGCGGGTCACGCGGCAGGGGGGTCCAGCTTCGCGTGGCCCCAGGCCCCCCAGCGCGTCTGCCCAGGCTGACGGAGAGCAGGGCGTTCACTGAGAGTCCAGAGGACCAGGGCAGGGGGCGGCCGCGCCGCGCGGCGTCCCGGTCGACAGGCCTGCGTCCCAGGCTGTGTGCTCGCGGCTGCAGGCGGCCCCACGCCTGGCTGGGTTCCCCCTGCTCAGCCTGCAGCCTGGTCCCCTCTCGGTCACAGCGGGGCTGAGCCCAGGCGCCTGCCTGACCCCTGGGGTAATGCGCTTGTGTGGAACTCCTTTGCAGTTTGGCACTTACAGTGAGTCTGAGAAGAAGACAGAGGAGTACGACACGCAGGTGAGTGGCGTGCTCCTGGCTGTGGCCGCCCGCGGAGAAGGCCCGTCCTGGGCGTGGGGCCTGCCCCGCCTTAGCCGAGACCCTGGGGAGCTGCCTGCTGGGTTTCTGACCAAGGAGGGGGCGCTGGGGGCTCCCGGGTCCCAGCCCCATCCTGTTGGGAGACGTCTTCCTCCCCATGGGTAGCTGTGGGGCTGTAGGCCGGGTCCGTTCTGCGACGTGGGGTTCCCCCTCCCACGCGGTTTTCGGGTTGTTTCACACATTCCCTGTGCAGGGATTTTGTGTTCTGGTTTCACGGGCATCGGCTGCATCCCAGTCTTCACTGGGTTTCGGTAAAGCCCGGATCGGAATCGAGGGTAGTGGGCTGCCTACCGACTGAGGCTCCAGTGTGGAGCCCGGAGCCTTTCTTCAGAGTCCTTTGCTGGACATCTGGGCCCCCGCCTGCCCCTGGTCGGGCTGTGAGTCTGGCCGTGTCGGGGGGCGAGTGTGGATCCGTCACACATTCGTGGTGGACGTCCTGTGGGTAGATGCTCGCCAGCCTGTGTCCTCCACGCAGCCCGGCTTCACTGCCCTCGACGTCCCGCTGCTGGGCCCGCGGGTCTGTGGGTCTAGGCAGCTCGGAGGCCGGGCCCTGACCGGGCGCTTCCTGCCCCCAGGCCATGAGATACCTGTCTTACCTGCTCTACCCGCTCTGCATCGGGGGCGCTGTCTATTCGCTGCTCAACATCAAGTACAAGAGGTGAGGGCGCCCTGCTGACAGCCGCAGGTCCAGCGCAGCCTCACCCTCGGCCGCGGTCCTGGCTGCCTGCTGCTGGCCCCACGCAGCCGTCTGGTCCCCGCGAGGTGGGGAGCACTCGCGGGAGCAGACTTGGGGCTGCCACACAGCCCGTGTCCAGAGGGGCTGGGGCCTGCACACTGTCCTGGCCCCATCCTCCCATCACAGGCATCCCTGACAGCACCGGCGCTAGGGCCGGGTTCAGGGCTGCCCACGGGCTCCGTGGTTCTGTGGTCAGCGGGGGACGTCTGTCGGTGCCCAGTCTCTGCCATCCCCTCAGTGGGGGCTCCGGGGAGGCCGCCATCCATGCAGGTGGCCTGGGCTAGCCCGCCAAGAGCAGCCCCTGCCTCGGCACCAGAGAGGGCAGGTGCATGGGGGGCTCAGTCACGACATGGGCTGAGCGGTGTCCCTGTCATCTGCCCTTGCCTTCCAGCTGGTATTCTTGGCTGATCAACAGCTTCGTCAATGGTGAGTCTGCCGTCTCAGCGCCAGTGTTTGCAGTGGGTCACGCTGGTCGGCTGCCATGGGGCCTAGTGTGGTGAGAGGTTCCCTGCCCACCCCGCCCCGTGTCCCCCTTGCTGGGCCTGTGGGGTCGGCTGTGGGCATTGTGTTCTCATGGAGGAGTCGGTGTGGGCAGCAGATGCCACTGCTGTGGGGCACCACAGCCCCTGGCCCTGTGAACCGGGGCAGCACGGCCCACTCAGCTTGTCCAGATCATGAGCTGCTGCTCCGCAGGCCGCCAGGCCCGGCTTGGCATGTTCACCGGGTGTGGGAGGGCCCCGTCTCGGCCTGAGCAGGAGGCAGTGGGTAGCTGCAGGCAGAGCGTCTGGTCCCAATGCCCAACGGGGGGGGCAGCCCCAGGCCCTGTGCCTCCACGCCCGTGTCTCCCCAGGGGTCTACGCATTCGGCTTCCTGTTTATGCTGCCCCAGCTCTTTGTGAACTACAAGGTAAGAGGCGCCCCCTCACCTGTGAGCCCCACGCCCCTGGGCCTCCTAGCCCTGACGCACCCCGTTTCCTTGTCCCCAGATGAAGTCAGTGGCCCACCTGCCCTGGAAGGCCTTCACCTACAAGGTCAGTGCGTTGCCTTCACGAGCCCCCTGGGGCCTGGTCCTCACAGCCAGGCTATGTGTCGGCCGGGCTCTCATGGAGGGCTGTTGGGGGCGTTGGGGGGGGTTCTCCTTCAAGCACAGAGCCCCGCAGTGGCCCTGGAAGCCCGGGGTCCCTGCCCCAAGCCCCACAGATGGTCTCTCGAGTGACAGCCATGCTGCTTCCTGGCACCACGCACCCTACGTCAGGTGGATGCCCTTGACCCCTGGCCAGTGTCTGGGCTGCTGCTCCCTGTCCACCAGGCGGTGGATCCAGTGGTCCAGGCCCGGGCTGCCAAGGGCTGTCTGGGCATGTCATGGCCCGGCCACGTGCAGAGGCTGGCACCGCGTGACCCTCCAGTAACCATGAACTAGAGCGTGCTGGGTCGGGGGTGGGGGAAGGTCAAAGCTGCATTCTGCTTTGGATGTGCGCGGGGATTCCATGCAGGCCAGCCCCATGCCCCCAGGTTCCCGGGTGGTGCTCCTCCATGCTGTTTGCAGAGGGCGGGTGGGACGCCTGGCCATGACGTCTGTGCCAGGGTCACCGTGGGCCCAGGCCCCGCTTCTGCTCCCCATTTTGGTGGCTCTGAGATCACTGGGCGGCAAGCGCCCACGGGTGACCGTGTGCCCGGGCGACTCTGGTCTCACGGCCCCACCCGCCCGCAGGCCTTCAACACCTTCATCGATGACGTGTTTGCCTTCATCATCACCATGCCCACCTCCCACCGGCTGGCCTGCTTCAGGGATGATGTGGTGTTTCTCGTGTACCTATACCAGCGGTGGTGAGTGTGGCCCCAGTCCTACTTCTGTGGGGGAGACACTGGCAGGTGGGCGTCGGGGCCCAGGGCAGGAGCACTGCTGTCTGTCTGACCGCCCCGCAAGCACGTCGCTCCCCTGCTCGGACGGGCGTGAGGTGGGCCACAGCCCCCGTGAGCACGTCAGGAGCCCAGGCTCGGTCTCCACCTCAGCGTGGGTACAGCTGTCAGCGGTGGCCTCGGGAGCAGAGGTCTGGCCTGACCGTTGAGAATGTCGGGGGGGTGCAAGGCAAACCCGTGCCGGACTCCCACTGGGACCGAGCATCTGAGTCCTGGCGTGTCATGCACCATGGACGTGTGTCATGGACACGTGTGTTCGCTCTTGCACGCCAGCCGGCCTGACGCCTACACGGTCTCGTTGCAGGCTTTATCCCGTGGATAAGAGTAGAGTGAACGAGTTTGGGGAGTCCTACGAGGAGACCCCCCAGCGGAAACCCCACGCAGACTGAGCCAGACCCGGCGCGTGCAGCCGCAGTGCAGGCAGGGCGCTGCTGTGGAGGGTCAGCGGCGCGGGTGGGCCTCCTGCCATCACCGCCTCTACGTTGCCAAACCCCCGAGCGTCCCTCGCGGCCTCGGGTGCCTCCTTGTCGTGTCCGCGGCGCTGCCGGTGCCACCCGTGCAGACGTCCATCCTGGTCACCGGGCCTGGGAGCATCTGGTCCTGGTGGGTGCTGGGCCACTCCTGCGGGGTCCCCACCCCAGATTCCGTCCTGGGGTCTGTAGGCGCTCCTTGGGGATGACACATGCCTCCTTTGAATCCATTCCGTATAGACTCTGGGATCAAATGGCTTTTTTTCTTTTCATTTAAATTTGACTATTTTAAAGCTTAATGTATGTATGTTTCTATTTTAAAATAAATTTCTCTGGCTGTACACTCTCCTTGGCCTGACATGACATGGACGGTTTCAGATAGCGGCATTTATCCTGTTCCCAGAAACGAACACACAGTCAGTTTGTGTATGTGCTTATCAACAGGAGAAGGTTTCAGGAATCTCGGACCACAGCTATTCTTACATGTCTGCGTCTGGTTTTGAAGCTGAGTCGTCGCAGTCCTGGGGTTCAGCAGACGAGTTTTGTTAGAGAAACGCCCTAGGGCTCACAGAGGGAGAAGCCGGGCAGGAAGGTGTCTTCACGGACAGGGCAGATAAGGGTGAGAGCTGGTGGGGGACAGGGCAGATGAGGGTGAGATCTGGTGGGGGACACGGTCAGTCGTGTTCCCTGAGATTCATTCTTGGAGCCTGCTGGCATGGTGTCTGGGCACATAAGCACGTCAGCATCTCAGCCACTGAGCTGGCTCTGGACCCAAACCTCATCAGTGGGATCTCCTTGGCGATATCTACACTGGCAGGCTGTGGCCTCCAGCGATGTCTCCAGCAGTGCATCCAGGGCCCCTCCATGGCCAGGACGTGGGGCCAGGTGTGGGCTGGCGCCGAGGCAGCTCTCAGGGCCAGATCCATGTGTCCTTCCCGAAAGTCCCCGAGGCCAGACAGAACCACACCCAGGAGTCAGCTGCCAGCACGTGCTGCCCTGTTACAGGAGAGAATCCGCTGACTGAGAAGACCTCATCCCTGAAAGTATATCAGAATATATTGTAAAATGAAGGCTTTACAGACACTCAGAAGTAGGAGGAACTCCTCGCAGCAAACCTGCTCTCTGAGAAACCTTACAGGGAGTCCTTCCAACAGATTGAGGGCAACAGGTGCAGATCTGATCTGTGCAAAGGAGGGGGAGCCCCAGAGAGCAACCACGTGGGTGAGTCGACTGACTTGCTCATTTAAGTTACCTAAAAAAAATCACCAACCACTTCCAGCTAAAATAACGATGGTGTTTGTGAGGTTCCACAAAGCCAGGCCGGGGGTACTCGCAATGCGGCCCCGGGTGAACTGCGAGGGGCTACAGACAGATGACCTCGAAGTACATGAGGCAGTGGGGGAAACACTCGGTGCAGGACTGTACGGGACAGTGTGGAAAGAGAACAGGGGACAAGGCAACACCTGCAGCTGGAGCCCAGCCCGCCAGTGATCACATCAAACGCAAGTGCTTCAAACACCCCACTAAAAGGCAGAGACTAACAGACCGGATAGAAAGCGGGCCCCAAGAGCACAGGTTGAAATCAAACACTGAGGCCATATCTACGTTAACATCAGGAAAGCATATTTTAGAGAAGTATCAATAACGTTACCAAGAAATAAAGTGTTTTTATAAAAATAAAGGTATTCCAAAAAAGGACATAATAATCTCTTATTAAGTCCATAAACATTTATGTTGAAATGTTGAACATATTGAAAATATATTACACAAAGCTGTTTAGGAATGCAAGGAGAACTAGTCCACAGGGCAATCTCAATGCTGTGTCAGAGACTGACAGACGTGTAAGGAGATCTCTCTGAGAACAGGGGGGACCTGAACACGTTCACTCTACCTGACCTGTTGCAGACACTCCTCCCAAATTCAGAAGTGTACACACTTTTCAAGAGCATGCAGAGTATTTACCAAGAATATTCTGCACAATAAAACCAGCCTAAACAAACATAAAATGCTTTAAGAACATGCAAATTATGTTCTTCAGCCCCAGTAGAATACAGTTAATAACAAATCTGGGAAAATCTCCAAATATTTAGAAATTAAATATCACCACTTTGAAATAAACCATGGATCAAAGAAGAAGCCAAAAGGGCAATTAGAAATTATCTTGAACTGAATGAAAATGAAAACACAGAATACTCATGTTCGTGGTATTTAATGGGGAGACGGAGGCACGGCTGCAGCACTGAAGACCTCCAGCAGGAAAAGACTTCCGTGTCCTCAGCGTTCGCCTTCGGAAACCAAGAGAGCGGCTGAGACCCCAGGAAAGGAGCACAGCACGTGTGACAGCCGAAATCCGAGATGCGGAGAAAAGCGCGCAGAATACTAATAGGAACAGTTGTTCTTTGAGATGATCAATAAAAGGAGCAAACCTCCAGCCAGACCAAGGAGGAGGACAAGAGAAAACGCAATCACAGCATCAGTTAAGAGGGAGGAGACAGAGCCAGATCGCACATGTGTCTGAAGAACAGTAAGAAATATCAGGGCGGTTTGTACCGACACAGCCAACCACAAGGAGAGACGGACGGATCCCTGGAGACACAGACCAGCCATGCCCCTGAGGAAGCCCAGGACCAGATGGCTCCCAGGGGCCTCACTTGGCATTTCATGAGTGGGAGGTACCAGCATGTGGGTACCATTCCCAGGAGAGTGAGCAGGATGCCCGCCTAGGCCCCGCATGCCCAGGCAGACGGACCTCGTGCTCTGTCCCGACCCCAGAGCGGCCCCGCAGGCTCCCATCTATTTCTGCGGAGCCTCACAGATCAAGTCTCCTTCTCTCACCTGCATGCTTCCACCCCCTGGCCCATGTTTCTGAGGTCAGACCTCCCCACCTGGAGTGTGTCCTTTAGAAATCAGCTGCTCCAGGTTTCTGCCCGCATGAGTGCCCTCACTTACCCTCGTCCTTAAAGACACAGCCTGTGGCCTTCTGGGCTGTTGCGGCTCCTCCCGTCTGAGGCCTGGGTGCTCTCCGCCGAGCGTGGCGTCCCATCCGTCCCCCTCTCCAGGCAAGGCGCTGATCCCCGTGGCAGTGGGGGCCCTGGGGCCGTCTCAGAAGTGCCTCCTCCACACGGTGCTCCTCCGCAGTGATCTGTTCTCATCTCCCCTCTTGTTCTCAGCCTCCAGGACCCTCTGTGCTGACCTCGGGGGTATTCCAGAGAGAGACAGCTCATGTTCCACGGCACTCATGTTCTCTACTTGGTACTTAGTTCATGTATTGAATTTTCCATTACTCAGTAATGTGGTTCCAGATGTCCTGTTTGATTTTAATGGTTTCTGTTAAGCCTCCTGGTCTCTCTGAAGGCCTTCTCCTTGGTCTGCCTCTGTGTGTTTGCACAGAGGACAGGCCGGCACTGGGGTCAGCGTCCTTCGGCGGCTGCAGCGGCTTTGCTTGTTGGGGTCCAGCTGCTCTCGCTCATGGTGCTGGGTCCTTCCTTCTGTGTGCTGGAGGGTTTTGGTTCTGCGCTCATATTCAGTGTGGATCTCGGGGTGGCTGCCCTGGTGGTCCAGTGGTTAAGACTCTGTCTGCCAGTGCAGGGGACATGGGTTCAATCCCTGGTCCAGGAAGATCCCACCTGCCATGGGGCAACTAAGCTCTTGTGCCTAGACCCCACACTCTGCAACAAGAGAAGCCCCCACAGTGAGAAGCCCATGCACCACAGCTACACAGAAACGAAACATGCACTCAGAAACGAAGACCCAGTGCAGCCAAAAAGGAAATGAATAAACAAAAACTTTACAAAGAAAGCACATCTGAGGCCAGCATGTTGGTGACTCCTTCCAGGGAGGATCAGAGCTGGGCCTGTGGGCAGAAATGCCTGTAGACCCCCCAGGGGTGACATAGATGATGTCTATGTGTATAGATGAACCCCATGAACAGTATGAGAAGGCAAAAAGATAGGACACTGAAAGAGGAACTCCCCAGGTCTGTAGGTGCCCAATATGCTCCTGGAGAAGAGGGGAGAAATAACTCCAGAAAGAATGAAGAGACGGAGCCAAAGTGAAAACATTACCCAGTTGTGGATGTGGCTGGTGATGGAAGACAAGTCCGATGCTGTAAGAACAATATTGCACAGGAACCTGGAATGTGAGAGCCAAGAATCAAGGCACATTGGAAGTGGTCAAACAGGAGATGGCAAGAGTGAACATTGACACTCCAGAAATCAGTGAACTAAAATGGGCTGGAGTGGGCAAATTTAACTCAGATGACCGCTATGTCTACTACTGTGGGCAGGAATCCCTTAGAAAAAATGGAGTACCCCTCATAGCCAACCAAAGAGTCTGAAATGCAGTACTTGGTTGCAGTCTCAAAAACAACAGAATGATGTCTATTCGTTTCCAAGGCAAACCCTTCAATATTACAGTAATCCAAGTCTATACTCCAACCAGTAATGCTGAAGAAGCTGAAGTTGAACAGTTAATGAAGACCTGTAAGACCTTCTAGAACTAACACCCAAAAAAGATGTCCTTTTCATTATCGGGGACTGGAATGCAAAAGTAGGAAGTCAAGAAATACCTGGAGTAACAGGCAAATTTGACCTTGGAGTATGGGATGAAGCAGGCAAAGGCTAAAAGAATTTGAAAAAGAACACACTGGCCATAGGAAACAGCCTCTGCCAATAGCACAAGAGAAGACTCCACACACAGACATCACCAGATGGTCAACACTGAATTCAGATTGATTACATTCTTTGCAGCCAAAGATGGAGAAGCTCTACACAGACAGCAAAAACAAGACCGGGAGCTGACTGTGGTTCAAGTAATGAACTCTTTATTGCAAAATTCAGACTTGAATTGAAGAAAGTAGGGAAAACCACTAGACCAGTCAGTCAGTCAGTTCAGTCGTTCAGTCATGTCTGACTCTTTGT